ATAAAATAACTTTATCAACTCTGTGAAATCTGCCAATAACCTTCAGTATTTATAAAAAGTGTCAATAGCCTTATCAATAGTTAGGTGAGAAAATCATATTTTTGTCGAGGGGAAAAAAACGCATAGTGTAAAACAGCTTTAGATTCCAACTGTTACACATCTTCAACCTGACAGAAGCATTCTTTCTCCATACCATGCATTTGATGTGAGAGGTTGTGTCACAACTTGCCAGAATAAAATTGTTTCTATGTTATGCATCCTCTCTCCGTGTATATATAACGCTAATGGAAGATGAAGGTTTTGAACTTTTGAAGATTGAAGGTTTGAATAAAAAATCGTCGACAAAACTCTGAATGTGCTCCTACTGGATAGGACATTATCTTCCAGTTTACGCTACGAACGAATTTACAGGGGAAATAGAATTCCAACACACATTTACGCTACAACAGACATCTCCATCGCGCATAATTCAGAAGTGGTTAATCCCGGTTTGTGGTCCCGAAGGCGTAATCTACAAACGGTGACCTATTTGGATATCCTATGACATTTCGGAGGGAAGTTGGTTCTTTATAAAAGACCGTTCACACAAAACACCATTAATGAACTAACTACGTGCTGAATGGTGAGGTGATTCTCATACATCTATGAATAATTAATTTTCTCTGTCCCACGTCGGGTACGCCATGGAAATGAATCCTCTATATAATTATATTATTACCTATATAGTCCCTTTTTACCACAGCAGTTCGTCCATCTTGCCCACACTATAATTCTGAATGTAGTACAAATAAATTATAATAAACGTTTCATTGAATATAATGCGGGGGGAGGGTCCTTTGGCTTATCACATATGTACTGTAGAATATTCCAAAGAACTTCAGAAAATAGATTTAAGATGAAAAATTAATGTTACAATTGTATGTAATAAGTATGTCCAACTACAAAATTAATTTTTGCTTCTTAAAATTAACATTGTTCCAATGCCCCTCCGACGCTTCGCATTTCGAATCGCGGCACTCACGACGGAGGCTGCCATCATGGCATCGTGTAATCTAGATTTATGTTGTATACGACCGATTATAACATGATACAGGCGTATTCTGACCCCGATTGCTAAAAATATCTTCATTGTGTTCTCTGCTATGTAGATGGTCGTAACTTAATCTAACTCGGTAGATCAAAAGTTCGCGGTGCCCGCACATCACGTGCGTCAATACAATTAATCATTCGTTTGAGCAACACTCGTCTTGTATTAATGTTTTAATATGCAGTGAAGCCAAAGAATCCTTTTTATTAGGGACATTGAATAAAATTTGATGAGTCCGATTTTCAGAGAATGTTTCTCATTCGACCTTGATGTGCTATAGGATTGCTAGTTTTATTTTGAGGAGAAATTTGAAGAGTTGTGTTTTTTCATGATTTGCGGCGCGAAAGAGGTTGCAATTCAATGGTGTTAAATAGCGGGCATGTTTGCGTCCCGAAATGTATGAGAGAGGGAAATGTTTTTTTATCGAAATGATTTGAAAGATGAGTTTTAATGAGTGTGTACACGGAAAGAAGTGAATATATATCATTAAACGATGTCAATTAGAAAGGGATCTTGGTTTTCGAGCAGACATTTGGAGATATGGCGGTGCCTCTTATTCCTACGAGTACATGTGAGCGGTGGGAGCAATAATGAATCACATTTGTTTGACTGTTGGGAGTGAGTTGTGCTTTGTCCGACTGGATCTGTTTTTGTCGGATATACGCGTGTGTGGATTTAGTTCTGGCTGAAAGTGAGCCTCTGCGATTGTTGTTGATATTGAGAGGAAGGGAAAGTGTAACAGGAGAAAACTAGTGAATAGGAAGTGGGTATTTGGTGGTGTGGACTGAGGCTCCACAAGGTCCTTTTTCATGCTCGACGAAAATTGTGGCAAAGATCTACTTCTGGACGTCATCGAGACTTGAATGAAACCCAAATCGAATGTGATTTCGAATTTGCCTGAATTCTTGAGACTGTTTAAAAGACGCAAAGAATGGTTAACGCTTAAATGACAATAATTATCATCTCAAAGATAATCTTGTCCACACACCCTTTCTATAGACGGGAGAAGCCATAAAGAGGGCTATTTCGCGCCGTAAAGTACATTGTGATTACAATTGTTTAACTTAATACATGTGGAGGACAAGGCAACAAACGGTTTTTTTTTGTCTTTTTATTTTTTGTTATTTGTATGATTTTAATAATGAAGTAAGTTTTTTTTCTTCTCTGTAGTTTCCTTTAAGAGTAAAAAAATGTAATGAACTATGTGGTCCCGGATAGAATACTTTTTCCTTTAAAATGAAGGACGTCCTTGACTCTGAGGAAATATCATAAAATAGGCAACCGTCGAAGCGCGATCGTTGGCCAGAATTGGCTCTTCCGCGGTCTGTGGAAGCCGCAGGTCTGTCGGAAGGTCTTCGTAGCGCTGGCGAAGCGTCGGCTTGCCTCGCACACCACGTTCTGCGCAAATGCCTTGGCTTCAAAACTCCGGTTTATTGAAATGCGGCGTTCGACTGGACATTTTTGATATCAGATTTGTGTTGCACTGCTCAAAAACCATCCAATGGCATACTGTTCTAATTACCCGCTCTAACTAATATATATATATATATATATATATATATATATATATATATATATATATATATATATATATATATATATATATATATATAGGCATAGGTTGTATTAAGAAAGGAATCTTTTTTTAATGCAGTTTTATGAGCGTGTCGAAAATATTTTCAATATTTGCAATTTTCGAGTCACTGATGACTTTAGTTAAAATCAGAGCTATGCCATTTTGTTAAGGAAACATTACTCTATTCGAGAACAAAATTAAAAGACAAATTTAGAAACATTTTTAGATCTTTCTGTTTCTTGTTTAATTTTTGGTTGGAGAGGATCGATCCCTTTTTTAATGTTTGCAATTTTATAATTTCTAAAAGTTTTACCAAAATTAGGAGGTGCTTTACTTTATTCCAGCAGAAAATTTAAAGAAAAAAAATTAATTTTTAAAAAAAGAATGTAGCAGAGACGTAATTCTTTAAAGTACCTCCAAAATGTAAAAGATCCGTCTTAAATTCGAAAGGCAGAGACATCAGCCAGATTGACCGGGAATAACTATTTCGGCGGACAATTGAGGTAAGTGTTATTCGCATACGGCACGGACGGATAGACGAGCACAGCCTAGAGCGCGAGCATTGTATGAGCAAAACGGGCGTGGTCATATCTAGAGGTCGAATCACGAACGTTCTTTTCCAGGAGAAACTTTCTATCTCGCAATTGAGGAAGTTGACAAACCCAGTCATAGCGAAACGAAATGTGCAGATCTTATTTTCTCGCTAAACTATTGAATTGAATTGATGCCTTGTTTTAAGTGACGATGCCTTATTTTACGTAGCGAGACTCGGGTCATATTAGGTCCGCTCTGCCGTCTGACCACGCAAATTTCGCTACACTCCTTTCACCGACTACCAGAGAAAGGAGTTATTTCTTGGACGAGAAACAGGCGACTTGATTTTAGCTCAGAGGCTTCATTTATGATATTATGTAGTAAATCTACTAACACGGGGCAGCCGGCTTTACTTCCCCTCCGAAGGAAGGTGTACGAAGCATTTTTCGCTCTTGATCGGGTTTGATCGGGTTTAAACCCGCCAACTTGGGTATAACAGTTCAATACGTTAACCGATACACCATCGCCGCCGCCGTCGACATTCTCTTTTGAAATTGCCTTTGTGCGATCTATCGAGCGGTACGCACGCAACTCGACGCGTTTTATAGGAGCCGAGAAATTAAATAACAAACGTTGATATGCTAGTTTCAGCACCGTCCGCCACCGTGATAACAATGTAGCGCTCCGAAGGCATCCGATAGTATTTGGTGTGAGGAGGGCACTGGAAACAGCAGCCGCTGGGGGGGGGGGGAGATTTTCTCAAATGAATGCAAATATCAGCCCTCTACAGGCCCGTAAGGTTTGCGTTGAAGCAACTTACCAGCTGATGAAGGAGGCGTTGTTGTTGCGCAGGCCCTCCTCCAGGAAGGGCTTGGCGGCGCGCAGGGCCGGCGGCAGCGCGATGGCCAGGTAGGGCATGCGCTCCTCCACGCGGCCCAGCACCGTGGCGCGGATGGCGTCGAAGCGGTTGCCGTGGTCGCCCAGCACCATGACGAGCGTGTTGCGGAGCGCGCCGCTGCGCCACAGGCCCTCGAGCAGCGCGTGAAACGGCGCGTCGATCACCTGCACCTCGTTGATGGAGTTGTGGCTGAAGCCCGTGAGGAAGCTGAAGGCGAAGTAGCGCTTCTCTTGCATCTTCTCCACGAATTCGCGCGTGTAGTTGAAGAGGAACTCGAAGTGCGGGGTGTTGCCGTAGCAGCGCTCGTCACTCGACCGAAAGTTTCTGACGCTGTCAATCGCAAGCCAAAAGGGCCGCATGTAATAATCGGTGGGTTTTTCCATAAAACCCTTGGCTAAGTAATTGAAGGCCGTTAGCTCGGGCTGATCCTCCGCCGTCATTGTCACGTACCCGTTTTCACTAAAGTTTTTCCACACGACGGGCAGATCGTCGAAGAAGCCGTTGGCCTTGTTGTCTCCCCAGTCGGTGACCTTGATGTTGGGCTTCTTCCGCGCCGCCATGCCCGTCAGCATGGTGAGCATGTTGGGGTAGGTGTTGTCCCCGACCTTGACCATGCCCGTGAAGACGTGCGCGCCGAAGGTCTCGGTGAGCAGGGCGTGCGTGCGCGGCAGCTGCCGCACGAAGTTGAGGCGCGACATGCTGTCGATGCCGAAGACGAGCACGCTGGGGCGCAGCGGGTCGGCCGGCAGCACGCGCGCGCGCAGCGCCTCGGACAGCGGCTCCACCCACGCGTGCACCGCCTCGTAGACCAGCTTCCCGCTGTCGCGGCGCGTGCACTCGGCCTTGACGAACGGCGCCGACAGCTTCTCGCGGTCGGCGAAGGCGCGGCGCGCACCGTAGCTGACGCTGTCGTCGGTGAAGTCGTCGCGGCGGATCTCTGCGTAGGCGCACTGCACGCCCGCCTCGCCCAGCCCGGCGTGGCGCACGCCGCTGTGGTTGACGCGGATGTAGCCGTCGCCGTCCACGTAGGTGAGGTAGGGCTGCGGCTGGCCGCACCGCACGGGCGGCCACAGGGTCATGAACCTGCGCACGCGCGCGTCGAAGGGGTCGTAGAGCGGGATGGTGCAGCCGTTGGCGGCGGCGGAGGGCGGCGCGGCGGCCGTCAGCGACTTGACGCGCTCCATCTGCAGCTGGTAGAAGTACATCTCGACGCTCTGCACGTACTGGTGGTAGAGGAAGGAGGGCGCGCTCAGCACCAGCAGCGCCAGCAGCAGCCAGGCGGCCGAGCGCAGCAGCTGGCGCCGCGAGGGCAGCTTCTTGGCGGCGGCGCGCGCCACCGCCGAGCCCCAGCACGACGCCAGGCGGCGCCCCAGCACCCTCATCTCGGCGCCTAGAAAAGGAACGGCCAACGCTCAGGCATGCGGGGGATTTGACAACTGTCCGTCGAACACGGCACCTCCTGGTCAGCCAAGACCCCGTTGAAACCTACGTCTTCATATGTGAGGGAGGTGTGGATAACATGTAAATGCCGTCATTTTGAGGACGAATTTGATTTTTTCCGCTAAGTTTACATTACAAAAGCTCAAGTTTACGAAGATCTAGTTTCCAACAACGAAGCATAGTCACGCTTACACGAGCGTAGACATCGGAAAGACTTCACACGTTCGTGTGATGAAATAACTGAAATGTATTTTCATATACTCAGAACATGTGAATGTTTTCTCATCACCTTTTTTTTCAACGAAAAATAATGTTTGAAGTAGTTAATTCTACTTTGGACAATCCTCCATAACGTCGCCATCTCTTTTCCCGAGTCACTCGCACACGACTGCACCGATTGTAAGGAGCGGGGCCGTCCGCGTGGTCGAGATAACCCCAGCTGAAGACGAGGGCAGGCGGTGTTACGCGTGCTCCTGCGTCAATGGGCAGTCAATAAACTACGACGGGGTACACAAAGCAAGCAGCAGCAATAACACAATTGCAACGCCGAAGGCGAAATATTTTTCTTCTCAAACTTTACACTGTGGGTATGGGAAATACGTGCCTTATTTCAAGATGATGAATTTCATTTAAGGGATTACTTATTTACAGCGCTAGTGTGTGATCTGGGAGCAGAAACGCAGTGAGCGACAAATACAATGACATTCGTATACAACCTGGACTGTTTTTTGTTCCTTTCAAACACAATCCATCATTAGCTGCGTTGGAGAACATAACCACAACTAGGGCTGCCAACCGTCCACCATTTGGGAGGACAGTTCGCCATTGACGTGAATTGTCTTCTCGTCCTCCTTTGTATTTTACACATCTTCCTTTAAGATATTTTTATCATTTGTTGTCATTTATTTCATTACATAACACCTTCTGCGTTGTATCGTTTATTGTTTAATTTAGAATAGAAATTAAGAATATCCTTTCTCTGAACGTTAGCACACGCATTCATCATGTCTCTGTTGAGAGACGAAAATAAAAAATACGCAAAAACACGCATTCGCGCAGTTGGCAAAAGTAACAAGAAAAATTACTTCAGTAATATTATTAATCAACATTTTAGTTCCAGTCATATGACACTGGTTGCCTTCCTTGTTTAATTTATGAACTCGCTTAACACGAAATTCGGCATCAAAGAAAATTCGGATCCGGCGAAAGAAACTTGGTAACATTTTGTAACGCCATGCACAAACAAGTGACCAAGTGTCCGTGACCACGTGTCCGCCGGGTGGCAGGCCGCTTGGGTTGGGGGTGGGGCGTCAGGATGTGACATGAGGTAGAGGCCCATAGAATTAGGGGGGGGGGGACGCGGCGAGCCAAGCTGGGCGGTGGCGACGCTTCAAGGGCCCGCTTGTTCTTCGAGGAGCCGAGCTGTGCGCATCGGAGGCAGCGCGCCGGGTGGGGGGCGGACAGCGTGCGCTTAGGCAAGGGCCGGCAATGGACTTAGTCGAGAAGTTGGTAGACGCAAGTGGCGAGACGCGTAGGAATTCTGCGGTGCTTCACACGATCGGATCTATTCGATATTTAAGTAGAGGGTGTAGCAGCCGTAGAATAAAATTTGATCCTAGTAGTAGGGTCGATTTATTTCGTTTATGAAGAATTGCAATTAAAGTTTGTTTCGGTGATGGATTAGTAAATAAACTAGCAATAAGTTCAACACACTCTCGTCTGTGTATTATCGCACCTTGCATGACGCCACAATTTATATCTCCAAGGAACTGAAACAGTTTGTGATCTTGTTACTATAAAAATTCGCGTTATTAATTGATTCCGTCCCTTGGAATTCGCGTGTACGAGGGAGTTCTGTAAATACAAATGTGTAAGTAGTACACTTAAGTAAATTATGTACTTGCATATAATATATATTTTGTGTTGTAAAATTATGTGCTTAAGCATATAATATATGTTGTGAATTATAATTTGTATATAGGTACATGTCTAGAAATGCGTAAGTTAATAAATTCAATATTTTTACAAAGAAACGTAATGATGCGATTTACTATGGAAGGGAATCCTTTTTTACATGAACATAGTTAGCAACCCTACCCATAATCCTAGAAGCTGCCCAATCGTTTATGAGTGTTGCTAGAGGTGCTAGAGCGAAATGGAAGGAAAATGCCGCAGCGATGGAAACATAGCAATGGAATCAAAAGGCACGTTGGACAAATCGTCCAGCGATCTGAAAATTTTCTGTCTCGTACTACATAGGGAAGTGCGTCTCCCGTGTGTTGTGGCACCAACACTCGCCCTGCTTGACACTCGGATTGTCATCAAATTTCACCAGCTGATAGAGCGCCACTCAAAACGGGAGCGTAGGCTTCCGCGGCCGGAGTCAGTATTGAATTCTTTCTCCAGGTGGCACCGCATCCGTGGCAAAGGTGCCGGTAATGCATTACGCCCTGCGGAAGGTGGCAGAATGGCGACCGAAACGTCGGCCCCTGTCATCCGGACAGCCAATTAAATCCCATGCAAAACGCATACACACAAATTTTGAAGCGCCATTTGGTTGGTTCGGAAGAGCCGTTGCTTCGGCGGCGCCGGCTATCAAGCGGAGTCAGATTTCCACGCGCGTCCTTCTAAGAACGACGGCGAAGGCCAGCGCCGGTTCTTGTTAATCTGATGTACAGAGTTGCACACTTTCTGTGGAGAGTTGGTAAGCGCACGAAATGTTTGTTTTTTTGGTTAAATATCGCGAACATTTTGTGTGTGCCGCTTATTAAAGACATTTATTTATTATTTTAATTTAATTATTGTTTCCTTTATTTACTGTATATTTTTATTATTTAGTTTTATTTATTTACTGATGTGCATTTATTTATTTGCGTATTTAATATTTAATACGTCTTGTCTAATTAATTAAACTACTTTCCTGCAATCCTTAAATCCTATCGTACATATAAATAATAATATAAGTATACACTCAATAGTTGCATTCGAATTACTCATGCCCGTGTGCTCGCCCTACTGGCCTGTCCGCACGTGCCATGAACCCCCGTTTTGCCCCCTCGTCTGCCCCCCCAGGGACTGAGGCCGTGCCGGCGGAAGGGCTGATAGCGGCGGCGCGGTCAATGAACCAGCGGCAAGCAGCTATTTCCGCTCTTCCACAGGCAGGAAGATCATGAAAGGTCTCAACACTAATTGTCACAAAACACAACTTCAAAACAATGCTTCACAGCGCGGAAACATTTCAATGCGGGGATTTTGAAAGGTGCTGGACAAGCCGGTAAAAAGGTTCATGTCAGTCCGAGTACCCAGCACGGCGAGTGCTGCGTGTGAGTGCTGAGGTGGCAGAGGGCGCGAAGAATGAACCGAATGATCGACGGCTCTCCTTTTGTGTGTGTGTGTGTGGGGGGGGGGGGAGACTAGCAAGATACTCGAGAACGTACAGATATCAGAACATTGTCTGCGCCGTACTTCTCAGAATTTCTCGCAACAGAAGTGAAGGAAAAATCTATCCAAGAGAGGGAGCGGGTAGCCCTCCACGAATAAAATCCACGGTCTCATTCGGTCAAAACAAGTACAGAGGTCCCCACCACATTCGAAGAGGGTTCCTGTTCTAATGAAACATTAACATTACTTGTAGCACGAAAATGTAACATGGGAGTCTTATGTGAATTCGAAAGCATGCAGCAAATCACTTTCTCCTTGTTTTCGATTCTAAAATACTTACAAGTAAAGGCAGTTCTTAAGCTACAATTTTGAATTGAGCATACTATTCTCCCTGAGCAACCATATTCCTATTTTTTAGCCATAACGCCTTATAATGCCCCACTGACTGTCATGGACCTCCTTTGATTTATTAAGTGTTCGTCAAACTCGACGAGCTGTCTCAACTCGCACGTGTGGCGCATGATTATCTCTCGCAGTTTTGCACATACAGCCTAATACAAAGCCTACTGGAAGCCATCAGTAGAGAAATCCCTGTTGATACTATCCATAAACTGGAGGTTCAGTTGTTACCTGAGGGACTAGGCGAGCTGGGATGTGCGCGTTCAAATCCAGTGAAGATCGGCGGAATGATTGAGACACGAAAATCCACAGCCTGCCATGTTGTGATTACGGCAAATAAAAACCCCCTCGAATATCAGTTTGATGTACTTGGCAAATCTTATCTTGGAAGGATAAGCGCTACATCAGAGATGCGACTGGTGCTGCTGACTAGGAGAGGGGACCGAAACTGAGATCACGCTAGATCACCAACCCGTCACAGCAATAGCTACGAACTAGGAACTGCCACTCGCATTGCAGCCCTCGGGCCACGGAGGTATCACTCAGTCATTCCACCAGCAACAATAATTATAACAACAATAATAATGTTGTTGGTTCTTACTGCTGATTCTGATTTAATGTAGATAGTAAGCTTTACGTACGTTCGGACCATATAGAGTTAGTTAGGTAGATTCTAGGATTTAATATATAAATAGTGTGTATATTTATTAATACCTCAACGTTGCAAACAACTCACATATGCCTTGTCAAGAGCAATATAGAAAACGTTTGACAATAACGTAGACAATAAAGTTTAATATAATAAAAACAAAGGAGTACAAAAATATTAAAATCATTATATACAATTTGGTGATTACATCAGAGTATAACATTACATGGTGAAAAGTTTCTAAAATCTTTGAAGTGGCATCCAACGTATGGTTACAATAATTAATACTTTTTTTTTGCACGTTGGGCTATTGATGCTTGCTACTATGGGTCTCATAGAGAGAAGTTGTTTGTGAATCTTAAGTAATGTATATTTGAGAGGACCCCATTGTGAGATAATAGTGATTTTTTTCATTTTTAGAAATGTATTGTTTTTTATGCCAATCATTAATTATGAAATTAATGATGTTCTGGAAAGATTTGGTATTACCTTTAGGGGCATATTTATAAGCAGTTACTATCTGCAATAATTTGCGAATTCCCTTACCATTTTACGAACATATTAATAGTAAAATAAAGGCCTACTTCAGAAAATACAATTTAGACATTACTTTACAACGTAAATAATATCAGCCATTGATACGACAAAAAAGATAAATCCGAAATAGGGGATACGTCTAATGTACTCTACTCTATTACATGTAGTGACTGTCAACAGGTGTAAACTGAAGAAACCATGCAATATCTCAGCAAACGGGTATACCAGCACAAAGGCGCCAACAAAGATGCGGCACTATATACCTTTTTGACTTAACACAGAACAGAGCTTAACCACTCCACTGTTTGATAAAATCAAAATTTTATACCATGAAAAACAAACCTTAAAAAGATAAGTTGCCGAAATGATGTATATCATGTTAATTATGCGATCAACATCAAAAGTGACTTACAAAAACTCAAACAAATTTGAAAGTCTTTGCTAATGTACCAACATTTTTAATAACGTTTGCCAACCCCATTGTTCACTCTGATGTCCTGAATTTACAATATTTGCACTGGCTTTCCATAACGTTTCTAATTATGTGCTACCCACCGCAACTGACGCATGAATTATTGTAACAACTAATGGCGTGGGTGGGAGAGTGCGCATAGGCGCGGGCGGGAGCGAGGGCGTGGGCGTGGGTTGGGGCGAAGGATAGGGCGTGGGTGGGAGAGTGGGCATAGGCGCGGGCGGGAGCGAGGGCGTGGGCGTGGGTTGGGGCGAAGGCTAGGGCGTGGGTGGGAGAGTGGGCATAGGCGCGGGCGGGAGCGAGGGCGTGGGCGGGGGCGGCTTTCCACGCACGATCACCTGCCGCGGAGCCGCCGCGCCTGCCGCCCACGCACCCGCAGCGAACGAGAGCGCGCGTGCGGCGTTTTTGCGCTCCTCCAGGACGCTTCGCCTGCGACGCCGCGACGGCCGTTGGCGGGGCCACATTTCCGCCTACGCGTGAGGTAATTTAACGCTGGCCATAGTATACTGTTTCTGTGAGAGAGGGACTCGTCTTCAACATCAGCTGCGACACGTCATAAGGTCCTCATGTACCGAACAGCGAATTGAAAAAAAAAAAATATCGCCCTTGTATCGAGAATTATGTTATTAGATACAATGAAGCCTATCTTTGGTAATAAAAATAATGAAGATATAATGAAAAGGTCAGAGAACTCATTCATATTGAAATCATTCGTGAAGTCGGAAAAGTGATGATGGAGTATGGGCACACTTCTTGGCACATTAATTTGCTTGAGATCCCCCTGGAAGGAAATGAAAAAGAAGTGTTAATGATGAGGTAAGGATAGTTGAGATTGTAGAGGATAAATCAAGGAAAGAAGCTACACAGCAAAACAAGGAAGTAGGATCTGGCTTTGGAAAAAATAAAGTGTTTCCATTGTTTTTTTTCTTCTTCTTACGTCATTATTAGTCACTCGCTGTGGACCAAAGACTTCTACGTCAGCGATTGACTAACAGTGACGTAAATGTTCATGGAGAAAACAATGGCAAATCACTTTAAACGACCACAAAACGGGTCGCAGTTGCCACCACGCGAAATGCTGAAAAGGCGCGTGCGCGGTGCCAGCAGCAGCGAGCTATTTTTAAAGAGCCAAGTTCATTTGGAAGCCCGTCTGCGCCTCGCATGCACGCCCGAGCCAAACAAGAGCGCAAACGGCGCCGCACCTGCTGCCGGGAAGACACGTGCCGCTTCTGGCTGACGGGCGATCGCGCCCTCCCCCTCCCCCACCCATAGGGGCCCGCTCGCCAGCAGGCCACGCGCCGCCGCCGTCGCCTCGCCCGCCCTCACCCTCACCCTCACCCTCGCGCTCGCCATCGCCCTCGCTCTCGCCCTCGCCCTCACCCTCACCCTCGCCCTCACCCTCACCCTCACCCTCACCCTCACCCTCACCCTCGCGCTCGCCCTCACCCTCGCCCTCGCCGACTGACGGGGGCACTACGCACGACGCCACACGAAACGCTGCTTCACACTGGTGCTTCAAAGAAGGCGATTTGCCTCTGTAGTCAATATCATTGTTAGACAGACCGGATGTGAACATCTTGCGTCCGTATAAGCGTTTGGCTAGTAGAGGAGTAGGCTAATATTGATCATGGGGGACAATGCCTACACGACGTTCGGATTTACAACTAAGGATATTACGTTATGCACGTCAGAGATTGGTATGACATAAATAGCACTGGAGAAAGTAATTCACACTCACATTCTTATGATAAGATGATTAACATAGGTTGTATTGCTACAATAAAATCATATTATTTCAAAAACAACACCATAAATTCACACACAATCAAACCTCGCCTTTGTATGCTCTAATTTTAGTAGAGTTTTCCATGGCGTTCTTGGTCGAAATATCCTCCCATTTTCTCTCCATCGCCTCGGTTTTTGTACTTGTGAAAATGCTTCGTTACTGAACTTTGTGCCTTTGCGGATGACTCGGTACTCTCTTCAAGCAATCGAGCGCCAACGTGAAGCAACCCGTACATTCGTGGAACAGATTTCCTTTCTGATAGAGTGGAAGTGCCTCTGCGCTTGCACCCAAAACATTTCGAAATAGTCTATCGTAGTGCTTTACTTTATTGAAAGCGTCTGCTACATAAGCCAACATTGGACCTGAGAAAGCCCCAAAAGCCTAGTCTTTCCTTAAGAAGACAAGCACTGCAACAGAATTCGTTAAATGTATTTTTTAAAAAGGAGTGCTTGATTTTTGCGTGCAAAAGATGCTAATTTTTTCAGTGTGCGAAACATTGCAAAGCCTGTGCGCAACATCTGTAACGATTCGCAATTGTCTTTCGTCTCGACGACGTCTTTGTTTATTATTTACGACTCTAACTAGAATTCATTCACTTTTGTAAAAGAATGGTATTTCTAGTTATTCGATATTCAATTTACATTCCTTCATTTGACGCAGTGCCTTTCGCTCACCGCGTGTTGAAGAATAGGATCGCGACGCAGGTGCGTGGTAAGGTCTCTTTGTCTAAAACTTAACTCGTGCGTGAAACATCTTTGGCGCCCTGATACGTAAACTACAATTTGTTAACATTTGGGTTATCAGGAACAGATTAATTGAATTTGCTGTATTTCTTACGGTAAAAAATTACTTCATTTTTCATACATTCGATGTTTGTCACATTTTTTCGAGTTGATAATCACAAATCGAGGTTCTATCACCTAAATATAAATAAATATTCCATTATTTAATTAGCGAGTTTTCGCAGATAATTCTTAGAAACGTAATTTATCTGCCTACACATAAAAAATGTAGTCTATCTACGTAACAATTTGTAATGTTCACTCTAGGAACTTAAGAGTGCTTTGTTTTCAGTGCTCATCATTTTTTACAAGTGTAACAATATAACGGTTTCTAACCAATTTGAATGGAACGCTAGCAATATTAAAATCTTATATTTCTTACATTTTAGTAGTCTTAAATTACACACATATTTTGATTTGAGCAAATCTCGGACCCATGGTGGTTATAAAGAGAATTATAGTATTAGAGAATTACAATATTACCGTGTTACTCAAATGTTATGATGATTCATATTAGTGCAATGAACGAACTGTGCCAACGTTATTTTATCGCAATAATTATCCGAAAAAAATTAATGAAATTGTATGACTTTAAATTATTATAATATGGTTTTAAACATAAAAGAATTAACACATAAGAACAAACTCGAGCTCACGTTTCTCATCTGAAAGAGACATCAAATTTGCCTCGAAAAGCATCTCGCGAAGTAGCATTAATAACTTAAAAATTACACTCTTTCACAGAAGCAAATATGATTTACCTGTGCAGTTTTAATTTAGCTGAGCATCTATTTTGAAATAAAACCGCCTTCCGCACATGAATTCCCAGTAGGAATAATCGTGTTTACATGTCCTTCGCAAATTTATTGCACCGAATTTAAAACGATTGCCAAAATAAATATTACGTAAAATGGAAGGGGTCCACTGGAATTTCGTTCGAATCTACGCCGTATCTTGAGTATTAAGTGAAACGGTATCGATGAAGCAGAATGTGTTATCTGAAAGATAAACAACCGGATCGCAGAAACGCGGCGAGATGTGCCTTCTCGTCCCCTCCGCAGGGCCCTGCCCACGCGCCAGGGAGGGTCGGAGGGCTTCGCCGGCCGGCGAGCAGCGTACCTGCAGCAGCGGCAGCAGCCCTCGGGCGCGGGGGCGGCGCGCGTCCATGTCCCCGGGGCGCGAGTGGCGAGCAGCCTCCCCGCGGCGCACCCAGCGACGCACTCGCCCAGGGCCACCGAGCTGCTCCCCTGCTCCCCTCTCGCGGCGGCGGCGGCGGCGCGATCGA